ACAATAAAATGAACAAAAATTTTACCAGAATTCATTAAATAGAACTGTAAATTACCTACTAAACTGCCGAACGATCGCCTAAATATCGGGCTATTTTATATGGCAAATTAAATGATTAGAATAAAGTAATTTGCAATTAAAAGTTGTGAAATTTTGTATGGAAGATTTCCCCAATTTTTGAACTGTGTTAGAATTAAACCATGTTATATGAGAGATACCTGTATTTCGGTTTCCAGGGAATTAAATTTCTTTCATCATAACTTCAATGTTTTGTAATACTGTTTCTGAAAATAATATAATGTGGGTTGTGTGATTTAGGGTGTCTGGAAAAAGGTATTCCACATTCCAAACATTTTGTCTCTTGGCACCATTTATGTGACTTGGAACAGTTTTGAAGGGTGTGTCCAAGGAAATTCTAAAATCTAATTTTCTCTATGTTAATAACAGCCACACTAATTTATATATATATTATTTAAATGCCTTAGTTTAAAATAATAAATGGTTTTTTTTTTTTAAACTCAATATCTTCAGAGTGCATTGACAAAGAGAAAAAGATGCATTATGAATATATAAAATTAAAAGAATAATTATGATAAATATAATTTTATTAATAGTGTTAAACAAGTATTTATTCTAATTATGAAATTTTAATGTAGAGGTTTTTTATTTTCAAAGCTTTTAATGATTTTCTGTAGTTCTTGAAATGAATTTATTGAAAATTGATATATCTGAACTATATGAAATAAGTTATTAAAGAAATCTATAATAGATTTTGAATTTTTGTTTCAGTAATTATCAATTAGCAAAATTTTTTAAAATAATGAAAATTGTATCTAATTTTATTTATTTTAAATTATTAATAATAATTTTAACTTTTTTAGCCACCTCTAGTCCAAGCAGTATTTAAAGGTGATATAAATGAAGTTCAGGAATTGTTATTTAATCGTGAAGAAGTTAATTATCAAGACTCTGAACGGCGTAGTATATTACATGCTGCTGCATTCTGTGGCCATGCAGAAATAAGTGATCTCTTATTATTAAGTAGTGCTAGAGTTAATACAAAAGATAATCATTGGGTGACTCCTCTTCATAGAGCTTGTTGTTCTCAAAGTGAAGTAAGTAATTTTGTCTTAAAGATGTTATTTTTACTGAGATTTTATTGCATTGATATTTGTAGGTATTTGCTTATTTATTAAACATAACTTTTTATTATTTATGTGATATCTGTTTGTTTTATATGTATTTATCATACATTATATGGTACAAGTAAAAGTTATTTTCTTCTTTAATATCATATAAATGCTACTGACATGTTCAATATAAGTTTGATTTATTGTAAAACACAATGCAAATTTTTAAAGTTTTGTAAGACTATTAAATGTCATGTGGGTTTTATATGTGGCTATTATAATGTTAGTTAATGTTAACTATTCTATCTGAATAGAAAGATTGCGACATTCAATCTACAAAAACAAAAACACAATAGCATATTACAAACAAACATTAACACTTTGGACACAATGATGAGATAGGAACTTTAACAGTCTGTACTAAGATCTTATTGGTTACTCAGAAACTAATAAAAATTTTCTTAAGTGTGATTGGGTAGAGGTTTTTACAGAATGCAAAAATTTAAATCTGGAGTGGAGACTAAGTGGTTCATAATTCTAAAAAATACAGTAGTTCTGTTCAGGGAAGGTCTCATATTTTTGAAAAGCTTCCAAAAGCAGAAATCTGAGATAAAATCAAAATTCCCAAGAACTTTAAAAATAATAATTTACAAGTAATAGTATACAGTTGACTCACCATAAAACAAACACTGATAAAGTGAATTTTACCATTGCCCTGGCAAAATGCCATTGTCACAATGTTAAATAAAATTTGTCACAATAAAATGAACAAAAATTTTACCAGAATTCATTAAATAGAACTGTAAATTACCTACTAAACTGCCGAACGATCGCCTAAATATCGGGCTATTATATGGCAAATTAAATGATTAGAATAAAGTAATTTGTCATTAGATGTAGGCGTTAGGCGCCATCTCTTAAGTAAATTAATAATTAAAATTAAATAAATAAATTATTAAATTAATTTTAGAATTTTCTGGAATAAAAGAACTGGCCCAGGATGGGGCTTGAACCCGCAACCTCCGTTTGCCGTGCGGTGCGCTTGCCAGTTACGCCACCCGGACCCCGAGCGAGTCTTCGCTTCCAGAAGTATATTAGATTAGATATAACCTTACTTGGTTAAATACATCACTGACTGGGGACGACTTCATCGCCCACGACCCCAATGGCAATTAGGCTGTCAG